CTCGGGTAACCCCCACCCCAAATATCTATCCATATGCCCCACACCTTGCCGACATGCATCTCCACAGTTCCATCTTTAAGCCGGGCCAACCATGCAAACCTTTATATCGATTGTGTCACGCCCAGTATGAATTATGTTGTTCGTCATATCGTTTTGCACTACAGAACCACACTGTACTATTAATACTACTATTAATACTACTATTAATAGTACAACTGTAACACTCCTTGGGCACAGTTTTATAGTATATATGGGCGCAAATTTATAGTTCATAGTTACCTATATTTGTCGGAAAATTTCCAAGTTAACAGTTACTGTAAAGTGTGATTACATTGACTACTTCTTGCTGCTACGCTTCGCCGCTGCCGCCACTTTGCGCTTGGCTGCCTTTTGTTTGGACGTCAATGACTTCGTTGCAACGGGTGGCGCCACTTCCTCATTTTGGCTTTCCATCGCTTCTTGTTCCGTGGCACAACGAAGGGCATGGTCCACAAAGAGCTGACGGATATCCCCACCACGCTTCTTGACAAGGGAGTCCAACATGAGAATGATAGCAACATCATTCGAGATAATATGCTCACGCATCAAGTCAAAAACAGAAGATTGTGTGGGACGTTCAAAATTCGGCGACGAGTGGAGCACTATGCCAGTGCGCCGTGTGTACTCGTCGTGGTCTTATTCACACATATCCGCGAACATGCTCGGACGGTACGGGAATCGATGGGTTCTTGGTGAAGTGCACATTGGTGTAATGTGACTTTTTGTTCGTGTCCGCGACGAACTTGTCCTCGCAGTCCACGACAGGACATACTACACGCTTCTTGCTTGGGTCAGCCATTCGATTCTAACATCCTGTTCTTATCTATATTTATAGCCAATCAAGTTCGAACAACAATTTATTACCTTAATCAAGTACATGTGGTCTGGGGATTGAGAATCTGAGAAAAATCCTTGCATAATCGATACATATTATCAGAAGTCCCCTCACAAGCTGTCGACTACTGTTAAGTGCGCATGGAACGCCACATGGTTTCCACGGTAACGACAGTACTGTACTGTATGTACTCTAAATCCTTCAATACGCTTTTCAGCTGGCAAGTTGAAAACACGATCAGGTTGTCGACTAACGTTACTAGCACTGTACGATGCCACGTGGTGAAGGAACTTTCCGAGGGGCATTTTGTGCACGAGGTACACGCCCAACCGGAACCATAAATATTTCATCATTGGCGGATACTACTAGTATAACGTATTAATAGTATGTTCCAAACCGGTACTATTAATTCAAAATTACTTAGGGGCTGGTCTGTGAAAAACCGTCCACGCTTTATGGCAGGGATGTTATCCGAACTGTTTTCGAGGATTTTGAAAATATATCAAAAATATTTCTTAATTTCTATCGAAAACGTGCAAAAGGAGGAACGGACACTCAAAAGCAAGGATGAATCATCCCTGCTTCAAATCAGGCGTCCCTGCTTTTTGAGGTTGTGTTATCCGGAAAAATTCACGTTTCAGTCAATCAGGAATCGTATTTGCGTCTGTACTTCAAAAAGCGTGGACGGGAATGTTCGCAGACCAGCCCCTAAGGGGCTGCTCTGTGCTATGACATTGGAGGACTTCAGAAATCGGCGCAAACTTTATTTTGCGCCACCAAAATCATCCGGAAATATAATTCAAATGCGGTATCTGTGGACATCACTTTGCCTCATGTTAATATTAATCATATTTTCGCCGGATAACTTTGAGCCGGCACCGGCTCAAAATAAAGTTTGCGCCGGTTTCTGAAGTCCTCCATTGTTCTAGCTGTGCAGTTAAGAGAAGCACGACATCGCGGTTCCGAAGCACTGGTCGTAACTGCATGACTCGCAAATTGCTGGTTGTGTGAACAATACGTGTCATCCGTATAGTATACGTTCGATCTACCTATCTTACTTTTCGTCCGAAAGGAGCCGAAATGCACCTCAAATTTGACAGTGAGTACCTAGTATATTCTTGCCCGAAAATTTTGTTTTTCAACTTTTGAGTTAGAAATCCCAACCTCCTTTCTCAAATCGAGTGTCCGAAAACCTCAAAATCAAATATAACGTTAGGTTACCCAGCTATGGCCATTGAATGACTGGCTTTAAGACTCCTAGCTACAGCTTCACCACATAAAACTCACTTGTAAACCCTTACTACTTCCTACTCTTTCGTCCCTATCGCGGCATACAGCGACCAATACCCGCAAGAAAAGTCAATATAATACAGTAGGCTTCCTCGGGTAGGGGCACGGCCTGCGGCCTACAGTACAGTCAGTGTACATTAAGGAGATTTCGCAATGAACGATATCGTTCTCTTTCCGCTCAGGCGAAAAAACCTCTATGATCAAATTCCGGAACGACAAAACCTGTCTACAATTGATGCATATGTCTGCAAAATGGCTGGCTGAACGATAGTCTGTCGTTCAAAAAACTCTAGCAATGCATCAACATGTATAAACTTTCAAAGCGCTTGGTGACGTGCTCGACAATCACAAAAATGAGTGTCGAGCAAGACACCAAGACGAAGAAATGGTCGGGTATGTGAGGCGGCGCAGCAGAATACACAAGGCCTCTACAGCATGGTAACGGTCTCGGCTTGGCGTGGCCACAACGCCTGGTAAGCGGAGCAGCACCGCCAATGATCGGATACCGGCGACGTCAGCGTTCCCTCTTTACAACAAATGAGAAGCTAGGTGGTTCGAGTCGAATGAGTGCTCGCGGTAGGTGAAGTTGGGTTAGACTTGCTGAG